AATGGCTTATAAATAAATATTGTACATCGATCAAATTAAAATCTTTTCCCTCAAAAACGCAGCCAGATACGAAGTGATACCAAGGGACAAAGAAGTTGAATTAGCTGCTTAAACAGGAAAAAACATGTAATCTTTTAAAAAGTCAGTGGCGTACATTTTTCGTCTTTATTATTCGAGAGGTTTCCCCCTGATGCGCCACTGGAATTAATATTTATCTTCTAGTTAGTGCTGACTTAGCTTCTTATCGCAATGAACAACACAGCCAAAATTGAACAAAATGGGCACAAAGAAATGTTGAGAAAAAAAGCAACATTTTTATAAAACTTTCACACCCTATATCTTAGAAACCAGAATTTTTACGACACACGTTTATATAAACTTTTCTACTTAAATTCAGCTCAAGAAGACGCACTTGTAATTGGGACCTACCATTATGTAACAACCTGTATAAACGTTGTGCACCAAACTGATGTTACACATGCATTTATCCCGTTGACGTGTGTGCCCTCCCATACCTGTGCAGGAAAGTGACAGGGTCATAGCAGAATTTATTAACAGGTAAATGAATGTTAATATCTGGTGCGGTGTGTCCGAGCATCCAGAGTTCGACTGCACACACAGCGTATATCACAATTAAACAGTGTGTCGTATTGATACACATAATTTATAGAGCTGGCTAATGTAAACATCGCCCGGGGTATGGTTAGAGCTATTAGTGAGCACGCATCTGACTAACATCACTACAGAAGTACATAACATACTGTCATCTAAACTTGCACGTCAAAGACATTTCGAGATTTTGAGTTATCTCTTGTTGGACTGGCAAAAACACAAGAATCGATAGAAGAAGCATTTTCATGGAGGTTCGAGAAACGATGTACTACCTAGACCTACGTCAGTAGCAGGATGCTACATTACCTTGCATCTCTAAATGACAATCCGCTTCGATGAAATGGACAAGGTGTTCTACCACATAGGCGTCTCAACTAAGCACAGGCCAAATAGGATGTGATTTAGTTCCGTCTCTGTGACAATAGGCCTCCATATACATCGCTGTTTCATACTTTTCAGCAATCATCAGTGCGGTGTGAGTCTAGTCATTGGAGACAGACAACGGAAAGCAAACAAACGAAGATATGCCTATTAAAACTCAATTCAATTTTCCTGACATTCTGTTACATCAGACACACTACTTTGGGCAATCTAGTAATATGAGCAAAACATGCAGCAATATTCAAGGTTAAAGTCAAAGTACGGTTTCCTGTTTAACCCAGGTTGTCAGTTACGTAATAGCATGTAGATTTTGTGGTACAAAACTTAAATAACTGAATTCGCGTCACTGTACTTTGAAATTGAAATGTATGTCTTGCCTTCGCATCTGCTTACATATAAAAATTTATAACCTCCGTACACATGCATAAAAACTCAAGTGCGATTGATAATACACCCGTTCAACTTTCGCCTTCGATTTTTAAATAAGCAAGCCGCGTTTGACCTTCTGCCAACCGAACAAACTTTAGCAACCGCTAGAGGGCTTAAAGGTCATAAAAATATTTATGCATCCCTTTGCGTCGCAGTTACGACTTTGGAGGGTGGCTGTCATTGTTTTGGGAGCGTATTAAAATCTGTTTAGGCATAAAGACGCAGGGTCCCAAAGGAAATTCGACAACAGGTGTGTCTTCATGCAGGGTGTTTCATAAATATATTCGGGCGAAATGGTAGACAAAAAAGTAGGGACGCCTGATCACTAAGACTGATTGTCTGAGTTATAGTCTCTGTAGTTTTTAGGTTAGGAACAGTAATAAGAGCCTGACAGTAGGAGCGCCTGATTATTAAGACTGATTGTCGGTGTTATCGTCTCTAGAGTTTTGAGGTTAGGAACAGTAATAAGAGGCTAGCATTTGACAGGCTGGTAGGTGATATGGATAGGGAAAAACATTTTCACCTACCTGAAACAATTTTCGTTCGAAGAAATAGTTTCTTTGAAATATAAAAATGTTTTTATGTTCTCTATACCCCAAAAATTATGTGACATTCTAGAAATCTGCATCGCTAGAATGTAGGCTGAGGAAATTTACTATAAGAGATAGTATTATATTTCGCAGTAATCTTTTTCATATTTTCTTGTAAGCGGTGAACTGGACAATTTTTCGAGTATGGATTGACGCTCAGAGCAAGTTTAAAATATAAAGAAGTCACTCTAAAAGATCCAATTTGATCTCTAAAATCTGTTCTCTCGCATCATTTCAATTTTGAGCCTTTCTAGTAAAATGCATATAAGCGTGTATTGTATGCATGTATATTTATAAGATCATAACGATCGTTTTACCTCTGCTTTTGAAAAAAGTACCTTTAAATGAATCTCCCACTGCTAGCAACTATTTAATGTAACAAAGTAAGTGATGGCCCTAGACACCCGTTAATGTAATTTGGCAACATTGCATCGCAAAAAGCACGCTGCGTCGCTTAGCTGATGATAATATATCACGTAAGCGCACTTCTGATTAAAGCTCCGGAATTTTTAATTTAATCAAAACTTTCCAGCTTACCCGTTTTATTGAATAATTAAAGAGATGGCGCAGCCTGCCTCGCGCGTCGTGAGAAACTCCCTGTATACGTGTAATTGCAATTCTAGCCAGCTAGCGAGCAAACAATCGCTTTTCAAATAGCGACGACATAGGCGTACGATAAACATGTGCTTAAGGTTATGGATGTTAAATGCAAATTCGTTTTTACGTAACTTAACACCACGTCAGAATGCAGCAAGCAATAATTCAATGAGAGAGTTAGTTAATTTGATGTGTCTTCATAAGTTTCAGTCGTCGCGTCGCACTAAAAAGGGCTGGAGAACTATTCTACAGCCACATATAGTCACAAATACTGTTTCGTTGTGGCTTTTCAATAAATGAAGTATTTGGATTCACAACAGTGAAGGGTTAGCAAACACTTCAAACTGTCAGTGATCTTTGTTTTATTATTGCAACCTCGAAGACCCTATTGTTCATGAACATTGTCATAATTTGCAGTAGTATATAAATATATCAAAAACGGTTTTTGAACAAAGGAAAAGGTTATATACAATTCGAGTGGGTACTTAGCGGTCTTTAAGTGTCTTCATTTGACTATGTCCAAGTATTTCCACTTTGTTTATTTTCCAGTTTTAGGGCCGTCCGACGTTCCCACAGTTGTAGGGCACCTTTGTGGCGTCCTTGATTTTCATAGTTTTCTACTGTTCCGTGTCAGCGCTCTTTTTGAGGTTATGTTACCAATATCTATTTGCGTCAAATTGTTCGTGCTTTTGATTTATATCGTATGTTATATCAGCCTGAAATTTCTTACAATTCAAAAAGGACACATTTCCTCGCAATAGGAGAGCGCGCACGCTGACCACGGAACAATAGCAATCAAGAAATACCCCAGACTTGAAGGAAAGAAAAAACTATGAAAATTAAGGGGGTCATAGAGGCGTCCTACAAATGTAGAAACGACTGGCGATATGTTCCTAAATTAAGAGAATCTTTTGGAAAAGTTGCAAGTACGCCACTGGCTCAGATCGGGGAGGAAATTAGTTAATTACTCATTCTATCCCTCTCTCTCGCTCACCCGTTGGTTCGTGTGACGTGCCCATGATGGAATGTTGGATTAAAGCAACCCCTTAAGTATATTTATCCAGCAATTACAATGTTGCTACCACAGCACCGTGTAAGGAAAATTAATTCCAGTTAGGTGGAAAAATCCACACCTCTCTAGAATAATGCTTTTGCATTTTCACTTAGTTTATCATCATGGAAACTCTACCGACTTCAATTGGGACAAGAAATAGAGAAAATTTCATCAAAAAAAATTTGAACAACCGAGAAAACGTAATGAGGAACAAACATTCAATCATTCAAAGATAGTGTTCCTATTCCTAACTGAAAATAACCTAGCTATCCTCATACATGAAATAGAACCCTTGCATACCTTACATGGATAGCATTTAAGATTGAATTTAAGTATTTCTTTCGTTTAGTCCTATAGTCTCGTCAGAAGGTGATTCGAGATATCATCCAACTTTCTCCGACTCAAATGACCTCAAGTCAACGATTTATATGAATTAAACTTCAAAGGGGGTTAATTAACATTAAGGTTGACGTGTGATTTCCAAAACTCTCTATATCGTATAGTACCTTACACACCTCAAGTAATAAGTATAGTACTGGTCACCGTCCTTGGCGGTTACGTCATCAACGCCATATGAAATAAGTAAACAGATCGAATCTCCGTACCATGGGTGGAACACTGCGCAGACTAATCTTCAGCGCATCTGCTACTCTCTCCAGTACGCATGAGGTGCGTAACAGAGAGCCGCTGTTATCATTCTCTTCCTACTCTAATAAATTTCCGGGCATTGTATAATTTTATGTTGAAGTTTGATAACAGGACAACTCGAATTTCACGCCGATATCAAGTAAGCTGTTACTCAGGGATACAAAGGGATACTGTGGTAGTCTTACTTTAACCCGCCAAGAACGGTGACTACAACTATAATATAGACCATTCAAACGGATAAAATACCCTATAGCATTGCTTACTTCACCAATGAACAAAAATCCATAACTTACAATCGACGTTAGTAAATTACTACTACAACAAAAATAAAGTTGCTTTCCACACGAGTGGATTATTTGGAAACACTTTTTATTTAATGCAACACATCAGAAAAAACAACAGCCAGAGACGTAATGGTATAATTAAAAGTAATTATGAACATTTATTTAGCGATAACAATACTCGTACTATCACGTTTTTTCGAACATGAGACCGTGACTCAGTCGTGGAAAAAATCAACTTATTTTATTAATGATCATTTGCAATACTTCAATAGTATTCATAGCGTCACAAAGGAATTTCGGATGAGATTAAAACATCCTTAATGAATAATAAGCAACTATTAACCTAATGTGAATATATCAGATAAAGGAAATTTAGAAAATATAAAAAAGCTTTATTAAACAACCATAACATTTCGTTCACGAATAAACAGAAGTAATGAGGAAAACTATTTTAAATGTAAAAACTTAATTCAGAGTTAAATATTCAACTTTCTACTTCAAGTGTCAGCACTTGCAATATGCTTAACAAACAGGTGACAGAATAAGAAAACTACTATTAATGCAGATACAGCGGTATTTAACAATGACTAACAATAATCCCGTAATAGTACAAACATATTTATGAATCTTTCTATCATCGTTTATCTTACCCCTAAAGTCAGTATGTTGACAGCATTGTATGTCTTCTAGCATTGAACCACTTACCCATGGCGTCTGTAACAAAAGAACAAGAATGTTAGTGATTCAAAATTAAAATATGTATTGATATGAATGTCAAAACAACAAAAATTAAAATATTCAGTTGGTAGAATAGAAGTCGGCCAAAAATGCATACTTCATGAATTTTACATAATTGAGTACTAAGAATGTTCAACAAATGTTACTGTTGCACCTTTATGTTTTTCCTTACAGAACTTTCTGCCCAATCCAGTATTTCGTGTAAGCCAGCAATGGAAAAAGTTCGAAACGGAAAGAAAGGAAACTCAGCCGAAATTATCTAATAACTTCGCCTTAAAATGGGATCTCGGCAACGTATTTTCCTTTAAGATAATTCTTTTAACGTCGAGTTAGCTGTGAAAAACGTAGACTAGTGAAATAAAGCAATACAGAGGGGTCGTGTTTCGTTATTGCTTGTTTATAGTTGTTTCCATGCGCTGGAATTGTAGTCTAAAGATTACTCGTTAGAATCAAATCCCCCATTATTACTGTTACTTTGTTGGTTGAAACATGTTCCTCTTTATTAACATTCGGTTCCAAAAAGATGGAAACGAATATGGGATGGAGACTACACCAGTAGTATAGAAATATGGAAATTTGTTCCATTGTAGAGGAAAAGGGAAAATTATCTTTTACGAACCTGATTAATTTTAAACATTCTTCCTCTTGAAGCATTTCTGGACTATTGCTTTAAGAGGTAACATCTGTAAGAAGATTCAACACGTCTTACGTTGAAAATATCCTTTGAGAAGGAGAATGGTATAACATAGAATATGGTTCTGATTAGATATAAAACTACAAACTGGTGTCAGGAACGTTTTGATCTATTAACGAACTTTGACATAAACTGTACTTGAATTGGGTTTTCGGGGTAGATAAGTGGAAGATACGAGCTTTGTAGGATGCTGTGACGTAGTCGTCAAAAAAATAATGGATATGTTCATGTCTTGATAAGCAATAAGATTTGTAAATTAAACCATCTTACAATCGATTGGAGTATTATTCTACCTGACGATAGCCAAAAAATTATTCGAGATGAAATGAGATACCGTAGCGTCATCTGTGAGGATTTGCCACAGTTGTCATTCTCCTCCGCACTGTTTAGAAATCTTCTTTGGAAAGCATAGATGGAGCTGTAGCCAACCATGTGAGAATGTTGGCATGTAGGCCTACATCGCTACCTATCACTAACGCTTTTTAAAGTGGATGATAAATTCTTATAGATGACACCGGGATCCTAATTTCATCTCTTATATTTTTTTGGACGTTCAAATACGAGGTTGGTTATCTCCAGCTAAAATGCGTTAATCAATTATCGTATCTATTTGTCGGTGCACAGCGATAAGCAATGAGAAAAAAATTAAAGGTGGCTCACCGACCCGCATTCCAGGAGTAACGGAGCACTAGTTCAAAACAATTGGACATGTACCTTGCCCAAATTAAAAATAATGCAATAACTCCTGAACCGCGATGGCGCCATTTTCCAGCCGGCATATATCACTGGCCGAAATTAGGTATCAGACGTTAATGAAAGCTTAGCCTTGGAAATCCCGGCCTAAGCCTAGGGGAGGGGGTATTATGCAAGTGGGGTCCAGAATGCCGGGATATGCGATTGTTATGTGTTGATCAAGAAAGCAGGGAGGGCCGTTACGCGGGTAATTGTGGGGTGGCTATTGCTTTTTTAACCAAATACCCGGGGTGATAATGGCCCCTGATTACGTCTCGACCCCCGAACAGATTAATTCCTACGGCGGCGTCGCGTTGGCTGGATATTGCCTGCTGCTCCTGTTCGTTGATGCTCTTTTATTTTTACGGGGCCAAAGAGGGATCTGATGGAAATTATCTAATAATTTTCACGCTTCGAAGTTCTTACCGGATATTACTGGGGCTGGCAGAAGGTCCCGTTTTGACTTACCCGACCAAATGCAATGGGGTAACATCAACCTAGTCAAATTTGTTTTTATAGTAGCTCAAATAGATTGTTTACATCCAGTTTTCAAGGATAAAACAGTTTATCATCGTTTTTTACTCCCCACGTTCACTGGCGAGGAAGTAGTTTAATCGCGACAGATTTTGAAAGTGAGATATGCTTTTTGTACTGTGCTAGCTATGTACATCATCGGTCTGTCTGTCCGCTAATCTTTGAACCGCCTTTAGTTTGGAAAGTACCGCTCGGATTTTGATAAAATTTTCGCAAGGTTACTATGCCAAGGACGAAAGGATATATTTTGAAAATGTTGAAAGTTTGACGTTGGGAGTTGTGTGGGATGGGGGCTATGTGCGTATTTTCATGCATGTATACTTATTATAGAACATTACCATATGTTCCAATGTAAACACCGGGAACGTCAAAGAATAAGTTATCTTCCTGCAGAAATAGGGAATAAGGAAACGCTACCTTATTACGTCATACCTTTCGTGTGAAGTTTTGCGGTTGAAATTTGCAGGCCTTGCCACTTCCTCTTGTTTATGAAAAAACTAAAAACACACCTTTTGGAGATAAAATGTTATATCTCACCAAAATAAAATAAAATGGAAAGTTTCCCAATCATACCTTTACTCATCATATTTTTGTTATTTATTTATGTTATTTATCTATTTCTTATATACTACTATTTATAATATTTTAAAAACATTTTACCATCTACAAGACCATTGCCGCAAGCTCTTGTAGTGTAAGACGGCATTGTTTTGTCTGCAAGACAATTGCATCCACAACTTAAGCGAACGAAATATCTCCTGTCGCATTCCTAAACTATAATTATGGTTTTCGTTTTTATCTTTGAGAAGACAAACTAGTTACAATCGCCGACCATTCAACATCAAAGCACAGTCAAACGCTCAAACGCATATCTGTAAACAATTGAATATAACCACCCAAACCACCGGACTGGTCTAGGGATATTTACGTGCACTGGTAACTTGTAAGTTACTAAATATTCCATCGAAAGTGACAGGAAGAACGAGCTGTTATGTTAGTGCGCATGCGTCTCATCAAGATTTCTCTTCCAGTCTTGGGTATTAGTATTTGTTAGTATGACACGATATGTATTACCATAATAAAATAAATACGGGTAGGATAATAACGAAACAGGACAGTCGATAAGAACTGTGATTTTTGGACATTTACCACACCATTCAGCCTTCCTTCCTACAGCGATTACTTCATGCTAGGTCTTCTAAAGTTAATACTAGCGTGAACCATGCGGAAAGTTTTAAAGCATTTTGGATCCAAGATATAGTCAAACGATGTTTGTCAAACGCTCTACCTCCATATCCTAGACGAAAATATCAAAACAATATTGGAGAATCATTTTCACAGAAGATTCATGACCGTCTTGTAGATTATTGGCAAACTGCACAATATAAAAGCCAGATACCATCTACCTTGCTCGCTGTCTGTAAAATTAAGAACATTTGAATGGCGTTGGATGGAATGTAAATGTGTTGGAAGAACTGCTTCGAGCTTTTATATATGCTAAATCTCCAAGAAAATTTTATTGCCATCTGAATATGCCCGACTTGGTATCAGGATATCACTCGGAAGCATTCAAATCCCATTAAGGTCTGAATGTGACTTGAGAATGTAAAGTGGAGGTAACTAGGCAGAAATAAATGCAATTTGCTGAATACTTGAATAAGAAGTATGTATTCTATTGCAGGTAAACGTTTTATCCATCAAAAATATATCTAATTGAGGAACATACACACACAATTTAGTAAGCAGATGTTAGGTAATCAATTTTAGATACCATTGAAAAAGATGCTGATTTTTCTATTTCTCGTTTAAATTTTGATCAGTTTGTCATATTTTGTTGCCAGAAATATTAAATTCAGATTTCCTAAAAATATTGTATCGACCGACCTTGGCCCAATCATGTTGTACTCACGTGGAACAAATGAGCAACTATTGATTTAACCATTAGCTACAACGTTATCGTTAATGACTATGAAGAAGCGCAAACTTTTCATTAGTTCAGCTTTCAATTATTCCTAGATGGCGTAAAAGGGTTTTCATTACTTACTACAAACATCATTGGAATATATAACTAGATTGGTATCTAGAAATCGACTACACAAGTTACGGACAAAAATGTGTCCTGCAATCAAGTGACGGTCATTTTAGTTGGTTCTTAAATAGTAAAGGGAAACAGAATTCTGGACTTCGATGTAAATATCTCTGGCTGAGAGGTTAACCAGTTGAATTATTGTTTTGTAACAGAAAATAACAAGCGTTAGATTGTTGTTTGTCGATATTTTAAAATTTAATACACTCATTAAAATGTTTACACTTTTCTCATTCCTCGGAACTATGTCTTCCCTATGACTTTGGTTAAAACAAAGATTGGTTAGAAGAAGTAAAACGCTGCCATTTTGGTAGCCATTGGTAGACAAATGAGTTAAAAGTATGCAATTTTGGCGACAAACGATGCTATGTTTTGATTAATGTGTCGATGGTGCAAATTGAAAAATATTTCTTCAAATAACGATCTCTAAGCCTCTAAGATAATTTTCCACAACATTTGCCTGTTGGATATCTCAGCGCACAGAAAAAAAATCGGAATATTTTATAACAACATTGATTGATAATTGTACAGATTCAAACATTTCAGACAAAGTACGTGGCCATATGTGAAACCTCGATAACCTTTTTTTTTTATATTCCAACTACCACGAAGGCCTAAGGCCTAAACACCCATTGGGTACAGTGGGGCTATAGGGGGGAATAGGGGAAAGGGGGAACGCCACACGGACTCTGGCGAGGGAACACGTGTGCATGCAACATGCACACATTCTGGCTCCGCCTACGAGATCCGCCGGGTGGTACCTCCACGTTCGAAAGTCAGAGACATCACAACATCCATAGCCAAGAGAAAAATTTCTCCTGGAACGGGACTCGAACCCGCACAGCGCACGGCGACTGATCAGGAGACCGAAGAGTCTACTACTGCGGCCACCGCACCTGCCTGCTACCTGAATATTTCTAAAATTTTATA